GAGGCTGGATGTTCAAGTGGTTTATAGTCTTGCGATTTTTAGAGGTTTGCTTTATAGGTCTCGGTTAATATTAAAAAAGGAAATTCTCGGAAGAAGCGAGAATTATAGTACGAGCGAAACGATACGTTCAGCTTAGGGAAACACCGATGAAATACGCTCGCCACTGGCGGCGTTAACGATCCCGCGTTAAAGGAAGACCGGGATAAAGAGCGGATAAAGGGATAGAGACGGCACAATGATTCTTGGGAATCGCGGCGAATCCGGCAGAGGCGGGATTCATTCGCGAGCGCGGCCGTCGCCGTCGCGCGGAATGGTCCCTTTAATGGCCCACCGGCCTCCATTACGAGGTGTCGCCGGAAAAGAAGCATAAACGCCGCCGACACCGCCGCGAGACTCTTTCCGAGCACACTTTCAACCAGTTCTCGGGGCATAATTGCACGCAATTTCGCCATCGAGGTGAAAAGGGACGGCGCGGCCGAGAAATAGTCACCGGGAACAAGTTCCATTATCAACGAAGGCCTCGCGATCGCTGTCGAACGAGCTGCTGCGCTAGTCTGAAAGAACTCGGGACTGTTGCTCCGAGTAAACGATCCTTTAATCAGTTCACCGTGCGAGTTGATTTCAAAGATCTCTCCTTAAACGAAGCGAAATGAAAGAGACTCGCGGGTTTATTTGGGATAATTCACTGTCGAATAAAGTAATATTAATCGGTATGACTTTGAGCAGTTCATTTCGTGGGATTCGATTATCTACTGACACGAATAACATTGTTGGTGAATTTATGGAAGTTTAAGCAACTAAGACTAGCTGCACGTTTCTGTAGTAGTCACTTTGGACATTGATTTCACCGTCATCGCGACAACGCGACAAAGACTGTACTGTAATTATCGTTATTGCTGCTGAAAGTTGGGCGAAGTCTCGAGGAATGCAACGTCAACGTTTTTAAAGAAAATTGCGGATCGGTGATATTAGGTACTTTGTAGTTCCAGCGACGAGACCATTTTCTGGCGCGATTAACGATCGGAGGTAATAGCAGCGAGGGCAATTTGCAAGGCAAAATCTGTCTCGGTAGATTGCGGATCTCAGCGTCTCGTCTACCGGCTGGCCCGCCGAGTATTCTACGGCATCACGGAAGAATCGTTCTACCGTTCGCGATCTTCCTGAATTTCCTGCAGTAAAATGCTTCAGCCATTAGCTGCCGAGGTCAAATTACGTGATTTCATTCGTACTGTCAAGCTGCAGACGCTTCGTATTAAAACAAATTAGAAATGGTTGAAATACATTAAGAATCGAATACTCCATTTTCCACGAATCTGTAGCAGCTTATGCAAATTCGATGCTTGCGCGTTAAACAAGGAAGTGCACGATGCCTGCAGGAAATTTGCAACGCATGACGATCACTCGCAGATTCTAAGTTTTTTGTTAATTAAGGAAGTTAGCGTGTCAGTTCGATGGAAAGCTGAAATGCACGAAATATGCGGAACGAGGTCAAGGAAATTTCACAAGGAGTGTGCGAACTGTAACGCACACGTTTGGAATTCAACGACGTAGGCAATTAATCGCGGGAACACGAGATCATTCGAAGACGGAGACGAAGGCCGATCGCGCGGTTTTCCATGTTCCGAACCGATCGGTTTACCATCGTGACTTTTAACGCCAAGCGTCTGTAGCTCTTTGGAAATGTGAGAACTTGAAAAATTCAAAAGTCGAGGATTTCAGAGATTGATTTCCATCGATTTGTAATTCAGTTCGCGTACTACTAAATCCGAATCCACGGTAGTTTCTCATAGAAACGACTACGAAATTCTCAATCATTGTAAAGGTAGAATTAATTCTAGCGAACTGGTTGGTTCCGGCGTTGAATCGTAGGTAAATATTCCCACAATTTCCTCCTTGCTCCGACCCAACAAGGAAAATTGCGTTCCGCCCCGAACTTCGGGAGCGAACACGATATTCGATTGATAATCGATTCTCTTCTTTCATGGTGAAGGATAACGATAAGAATCGGCGAACACGACACGCACTGGATGTTACGACGATCAATAATTTAATTTCCGTTATCGTCTGTTAACCCTCTGCCCCTCGGAGTGCCGCGTCGACGGGGTTTCAAATCGAATGAAATTTTAGCGTCGAAAGCTTCTGCAGCTAAATGAGAAAGAGATTCAGTGAAAATCTTGAAGATCGTTACTTCATTCGAGACAAATGTTTTCTAATCCGTTGGCTGGTTTGTCTAGTGGCCAATTCCAGCGGTCAGTAATCTCATTGTTAACGATCTTCCAGTAGAAGCAACTATTTGTTCACAGTGTATAGTATATAATCGATAATACCAATTATACGCTAAAAGCTTTTGACCTACGATACGGATCTGTTAGAATATAACTCTCGCCGGATCGTCATTATTCACGTGGATGTTGGTAATGGAAAAAGCTATTCGGTCACTCGAGTCACGTAATGCGATAGAAGCTGGTGTATCCAAATTAATTAAGAGGCACAGATCACTCGGATAAGCGAATTTTCGAATAACTGAACAGTCACGTTCATTGCAGTCATAAAGGAACACTCAATAAATTTCAGTGAAACAGACATCGAATAACCGGTCGGTGTTGCGTTACGATAAACGCTTGAAAATGATCACAATACGTAAGATGATTAATGTCTACCTAATAGGAGCTATCTAATAGAGATAATAACTGAATAGTGTAACGCAATCAGACACGATCAAAGAATTCGATTACGTAAACAATAAGTATTCGGTGCGTAGTTTTCTCATTTTGGTACTCAAGAATTCATTATCGAATTTGGTGTCCCATGCGAAAGAGGATTGACAATTGTCCCCATTTAGCCTGGCTACGTAAATCGATACGTAAATCGTTCGCGATTCCCGTGGCAATTGGCGCGTTAAACGACAAAGTGAATCAGCGTTTCTGGATCGTTAACGAGTCTTTAATCAATCATTCGTCGAACTATAGATCCCGATATGGATCCGAAGGTAAGGCTAAGTAAACAGTTTCACTCGTAGACGCACACCGATAGCATACAGAGCGCGACGACCGGCCAATAAAACACGATCCGAATAAGAGAGTTTCCGCCACCTCATAAGGGAGACAATAAGCACCGAAAAGTCAGCCCGTTGGACGATGGACATCCGGTTTCCGGTAAAAATAATCAACGAGACAGGGAAATTGATGTTCGAGCAGAGGATACGCTTGTAGTGGCCAGATAAAACAGATTGAAACGGATGTAATTCAAGGATACACGACGGCGGAGGAGAGAGAGCACGAGAGAACGAGAGAGAACAAGGAACAGCTGACAGCGCGTCAACACCAGTGTCGAATCACACGTACGAATTCATTAGGCCGTTTAATCGGACATTTCCAATTGAATTTATCGGGAAACGCGTTCTTTCCATTTGAACATTTCATGATAATGTTCGCCAGACGTCCCTTGAGATCGTAAAATCGGAGTGGAACGACGTCACCGGTTGCTGTCAATATTTCGAAATTGATATTTCGAAAAAATTACGAACGTTTCCAAATGGAACCTCAAACAGACCATAGAAGACGTTCCAAACAATGATAGCACTGATTTATTTCCCATAAAGAGCACGGGAGGGAAAAGTAGAAAAAGATAACGCGTCATTAGTCGATAATAAGTTAAGATAACGAATTGTCACGACTCCAGTTGTACCGAAAGAAAATGGCTCCCACCGAAACGGCCGTTCAAAATTCCTCGGAAAATTCCGGGCGGACAAGGAGGAAAACCGAGACAGGAAATAATAATGGCAACTTACGGAAAAGTTCCGCGATGAATCGAAAGTGTCTCGAGCATTTGATTGTCCCGATAATAGGCGGATGACTAGCATAAACGAAGAATAGAATTCTGCGAGGGTCGATGGACGGACGGGGCTCCGTGGAAGGTCACGTGACAATATTTGTTTCGAATTGTACGAGGTGCAGGCGCGTGCACGGATACGGGTAGCGTCCGACGGCGCGAGACCAGAGATCTCTTTGCTAATGGCAAAGTCGGCCCGGCGTAGTTCACTTTTTATGGGAGCCCTCTCGGTGGCTGTGCTCGTGCACGCACGATCAATGTATGAATGGGAGAGACCTGACACACGCAGCCGCCAGCAGGCACGCACGCACGCACGCACGCACGCACGCACGCCAAATACCGGCGTGTACAGACGGATCACACTGGAAACCGTTCACCACCTTCTCTTTCGCTAATTTCGTCCGCGAAATGGTAACGTACCAGCGTTCGCAACCTTTACGATCACCATGAAAATATTCAAACGATATACTGCTAATCAATCGAACGTTTTCGCGGTAAGAAAATACTAGAAGGGTAACCGGCAACACGCCTTTCAGCGGAGGGAATCCCCAAACATTACAGGTGGATGACTCCCGGTGTGACCTGCATTTGGCGGACGTCAGTGAGCACGGTGTGCTCGGTTCATTGTCTCGAGTTTCACAGGCGACAAAGCGATAACACGGATGATGTTACGGTGTCGTACCGATACCGAATATCGCGTATCGTTCTCTAGAGAAAATCGGTGAGATAAAGCTGGTGGATGGTTCCGAGTAGGAGCCGTTGTGGACGCGCGTCAACACTAATGCGCACACGGTCGTGTTCGCACACAGGCCCGCGCCGAAGAGACGTTCACGTCGATGTCTCTCCGGCGGCAGCATCACACAGCCCGAGCGTATTAAGCGGCGTGCGGTCGAGCGAGGCATCTCAAGACGGTCGTTAAAATCATTGACACAAGGATTTCCGGTGTACGCGGCGAGGCACCGGCGTTCGCGCCGGTCCTCGGTAGCACGATGCTGGCTGGCGCCGTCTGTCAACGCGGATCTTCTCGCGATCCGCGATCGGCCGCGGTGGGATCGCGCGGAACGATGGGACAGCGAGGACGGTGTTTGACAGGTCCGCGGGGTCGATGGCGAGCCGCGCGCGTTAACCAACGTAGAAGGGAACGTGCGAAACGCCTACGGGGAACTCACCGACGCCGTATTTGGTTGTTTTCGTGGTGGTCCACATCTCGAGGGGCCCGACGACGGCGCTACATGCCTTGCCAAACGGCCACGAACCACTCTCTCTTGGTATCACGAAAAATTCGAAAACACAAACATTGGGTGTGTGTTGCTGCACAAGTGCCACCCTTACGGCGCTCTTTCTCTGTCTTGTCTGCTGGCGCGGCGGGCAACGTTGCCGATGGCTACGACGAGCCGCGGCCGACTGCCGGCAACGCCGCCGCTCCTGCGCCGGTCACGTGTTGCCCAGGACCGTGCCCACCGTGGACCGCCCCCAATCGGGCAAATTTCGAGACGCTTTTCGTCGGGATCGTTGAATCGACGGGGTCGGTATGGAACTCGCCAATAGAAAATGGTAAAACATTGGTGAGTTTTAAGATGGATACAGTTTATTGTGTATTTGGTTCGTCGTCGTCTCGTTTAGGTTTGTTAAGTAACGGTCCGAGAATACTTTTGGAACATCTGTACGAAATCGAGGGAAGTTTGATAACGCGACGAGAAAAAAATTATCTCGAGGCTAGAATGATTTCGGTGATGTATCGGTGGACCATGGTTTTCGGGTGGAAAGCAGTGTTCTCATCGTTTACATAACGGGTTATGAATTTATTCATATAATAAATACAATAGACAAGAAACAGGGGTAAACTAATATAAAAGGGACGATATTTTCATAAACTCTTTTACAGTTTTATTTACATTTTTTCCTTATACGTTTAAACGATAGTGATACCTATGCGCTAGCCGTGTAGCGCGACGTGACGGAGCGTAGACTAGATCAAAGGCTACGGCGAGTCGAAGTATGAAGCAGTGATCGTGTTTTTCATAAATTATTTAGAAGTTGATGGGCTTTCCGAAATACGCAGCCAAATGCGCTTCTTTCAATGCTTCGGCGCATGTCTGTTAAAAGTAACACCATGAGTAAAATATTCTGCACGCTTGGTACGCGGTCAAAGCTGATTCGCGGACTTACCGGGTGCGCGTGACACGTTCTCGCAACATCTTCTGCGCTTGCTCCGTATTCCATAGCGAGAACAGCCTCGTTGATAAGTTCACCAGCTACCGAACCGATCATGTGAACCCCTAGTATCTTATCTGTAGTATTGTCGGCTAAAACTTTGACGAAGCCCTCTGTATCCAGATTCGTCTTCGCCCTGGAATTAGCCAAGTGTGGGAATTTGCCAACTTTATACGCGATACCTTCCTTCTTTAAGTCTTCTTCCGACTTTCCGACCCAGCCAACCTCTGGGTGCGTGTATATTACGCTGGGCACGCAATTATAATCGATATGTACGGCACCTAAAACGGAATATTACATTTCCATAATTAAGAACGATCCAGATAAATCTGTAGTCGCAGAAACATTTGTCATCCGATGACAACTACCTCCGGCGATGCCTTCGACCGTGATAACACCCTCGTCTTCGGCTTTATGCGCCAACATCGGTCCATGAATACAGTCTCCAATGGCGAATATGCTAAATGAAAATTATGTGATTTTCAATATCGTGAAAGAACGTTATCGCGTTTTACAAGGCAACTTGACTCACGAAGGTACAACTGTTTGGAATCTGCTATTTACAGGGATCCTGCCCTTCTCGTCCCTCTCAATTCCCATATCCTCGAGCCCTAAATTCTGAGTGTACGGCCTCCTGCCGACACAAACTAAAAGGACATCGCACGGGACGTCCTCCTTCTTGCTGGGATCTTTTGCGTCCTCCACAGAAACTACGATCTCGCTACCCTTCCTCGTGGCAGCAGTAACTTTGGTGCCTAACTTGAAATTCAAGCCCTGCTTGGCTAAAATCTTTTGCAGCGACTGACTGACTTCGCCGTCGATACCCGCTCCGCCAATGGACGGTAAAAATTCAACAGCGGTTACTTGCGAACCCAACCTGCAGTAAATAACAAAAGCAATGCTTAGAAACACCACAACTAGATAAATAATTAAATTAAGATACTTTTATAAAGTACCTTTGCCAAACAGAGCCTAATTCCAGTCCGATAACACCAGCACCAATGACAATGAGTCTCTTAGGCACTTCATTCAGCGACAGAGCACCAGTGGAAGACACAACTTGTTTTTCATCAATTTCTATACCAGGGAATGGAGTGACTTCACTGCCTGTTGCGATTATAATGTTTTTAGTATTAATTGTGCTTGCAACTGAACCATCTGTATTAAGGGCAGTCACTTGATTTTGACCGGTAATCTTTCCATGACCCTTAACCCACTCAACCTTGTTTTTTTTAAAGAGACCGGCAATACCACCGGTTAAAGCTTTTACTACATTACGCTTTTGTTCCATGAGCTTCTCAAGATTAAGTTTAACATTTTCCACTGCAATAAAAAAGTGGAAATTAGTATCATTGACAATGATGATAATAACTTAGTGTTACTATAGAAATACTAAGAAGACATACCAATAATACCACGATTTGTCAAATCTCCACCATGTGCCATATGATAATAATGTGAATTATTTAAAAGAGATTTCGATGGAATGCATCCAACATTTAGACAAGTTCCACCAAGTGTTTCATCCTTCTCTACACAAACAGTCTTCATTCCTAACTGAGCAGCTTTAATTGATGCCACATATCCACCAGGACCTCCACCTATCACTACAAGGTCTGCATCTATCGTACTAGCATATCTACGTTGCTGTGCAGCTGTCAAGCCTGGTATAACACGCTTAACGCATGCTGGCTAAAAACGAGAAAGGTGAATGTGAAAATATCTTTATTCGAAGATGTATCGATTGGCTATTCTTTCCACTCTTTCTATATCGCATATATATCACATACATCTGAATGAAGGATGAAAGTGTAGGTGACATAACCAATGCATTAAAAGAATCCTGCTTTTACACGTAACAATGAATTTAAGGAGTCACTTTGAATTGTCGAACCGATTAATCAAGATCTTGTTAAAACCAAGAAAGAACGGAAGAGACGATTCGCCAGCTAGTTCGAGATAATATGGAACAAAACCGTTTGTCCTTCAAAATGTTACGAAATAGACTCCAAAATGAATGGCAAAGTACGAGACAATGATACATCTATGATGGGATTTATTGGCACGTAACGTTCTTTGAAACTTACTCTGACAGAAGTGGTGACTAAGTTCCACAAATTAGCTTGCATCATTTTTGTTGCAGTGAACTTTGCTTTTTGATACAAGGGGTCACAAAGGGAACGAGTCCACGGCAGTGTTAAAGCCAGCACTACCGGTTATTTCAATATCATCCGACCCGTCCGAGCCTTGATAATTCGATATATCGTCTGGTTACGTACTTTAGAGGGCTTACTGTTCGATGGCGCTAGTAATCCATTATGCAACACGGATTTCGCATGCTTGCGTTCGTACCGATTGGGTTAAGGAGAAAAGTAAGTTAAAAGTATTTTAAAAGTGGTTAAACAATGAAAATAACATTTTTTCAGTTGAAATCACAGATATGTTTGAATATTTTGTACTAAATCGAAATTGTTTCTCGGACAGCTCTGCGTGCATCAAAAGTATATTCAGCGACATAAATCCTTCGCGAGTGACGCAATTAACTGCGTAAATTAAGTGCTTTCGTTGCTTCGGCGTCTAATGACGCTGATAACTTTCTTAATATTTTTTAGAGTAAATGGACTTGCAATTACTCCTAGCCTTATTTGTATGCAGTAGTTTCGACTCGGTAAAAAACAGAACCGGTTACGGTTGTATTTCTAATTATATATACCTCGATATTTTTGCATTTGAAATGGCAACACAAATGGCAATAAAGGTTTTAACGTTATCGTTTTACGACCATATTTTATTAAGTAAAATTACTCTGCAACTTTGTCACAGATTACAGCTTTTTATAATACACACATTTTTATAAATGAACAGGTGTACGGATTTTCTTAAATCCGAGTACAGAAATAATCTTAAATCCTGCGTAAAAAGCAATAAGCCTGAATCATATCGCGCAACCATTTACCGGATCTTTGGTTTTAGCGATAACATTCCTTTAAGCACAGATAAACATCCTACATATATAGGATGTTGCGTCTTTAACATCGTTTCCGCTCACACATTCTTAACGTACAAAACTTATCCATAAATTCTAACACGTGAACATTAATTCGACTAAAATCAATCACGAGCTAAATGAAATTTCATTTAACATTAGGCTCTCCGGATGAAAATGAATTACCATAAAAATACGGAATTTATATGGTTATCACGTAAGCACATGTACACAGTTGTGTAAAAATTTCTGCCATCTCGCGGACGTATGGAATAATTCCTACCGTTGAGCAGTTTGCGATCGATCGACGCACGACCGTTTTAACTGTAGTCGATACGAGGAACATCCGTTACGTTTGATTCGAAGCTAACCTAACCAATCGTTTCGATGAATTCTCTTCCGTTACGGGCACGACAGAATTTTCGTTTGAAATTGGAACGGCGAGACATGGAAATCCCATGCGCAGGCATGGAAACAACGGAAAGTAAATTCGCCGACAAAAAGGGGATGAAAAAGAGACTGAGAACGAGAGGAAGGGTACGTTAGGGGTCGTGGAAAAAGGGCAACAGATGTCCTTCCGTATGACGCATGAGTCGTTTGGCCCTTGGCGAGATATGTAGTACCGTTCGCGTCTCTCTACCTCACGGAAGTATTGTGCGTTGCGAAACAAGGCTGGCCCTGTCCTTAGGAAAAACACTTGCTCGAAACCGGTTAGTATCTGCCGTGTCAACGAGACCAATGACGGTTTCGTCGACCCAAGACGTTCCGGATCTTACGAAACGTTCTTGCCGACAGTTTTTCCCACTCGCGTTCTCGCCATACCCACGTTTTCCGTGCGGAATCGAACGCGTAATCCCATTACCGATAGCGTGGTCGTGATTGGCCCAATTTGAACTGCCGAGTAATCCCCCAGCGAGTCTCGTCTCATTACAATATCATTTTCCCAACGTTTTTCACCGCGACGCGTAGCAGAAACTGCGTTCCGTATTCCGAACTAATTGGCACGGATGTAACGTAAAGACAATAACCGTTGTCAATAATTTACCGAGGGCGTAACAAGTAAGGTTTGATGACATGTGATGTTAAAGGTTCTCGAGAAGAATCCCAGCGACGCAATTACCGTGAGGAGACGGTAGAATGAGGAACCCGTCGGACTCCCGTTGACGCAGACGAGAGAAAAACGAAGAGGAAAAGGAAAAATGTGCGAGATAGCGAAGGGACAGCGCAGGACGTTCCGCGACCAGGACCCGCCGCGAATATTCGACAAGGGCGGCAACGGTTTGAAAGCCGAGCTCGAATTTTCGAAATCGACACCGAACTCGCCAACGATCCTGCAGCGCGGCTCGAGTTTCGAGAAGTGTTTTAGCGAGCCGGAGATCCTTGAGAAGGACCGGCAGGCTCGGAAAAAGGAGAAAGGGGATTCCTCGACCGGCCGGGAAAGTGCGTCGTCCGATTCCGTTCGGGACGATAGCGGCAAGGGAGCTGATACAGCCGAACGGCCTGACCTTCGGAGCGGCACGAGCGCCGAGAACTTCTTCAAGGAACTCTCCGATAAAGTGCCTTCGTCTGGCCGTCACGAGCACGAGGTAAGTCGCGACTCTTCCTTTTTAACGTGGATATTCGATTATCGGCCGGTAAATCGTCTTTAGCTTCGGTTGGCCGAGCCTCGTTTTATAGCCGACTGCTTCTTTTAGCACTGGAACCTCGCGGCAATCCGAACGATTGACACGCATAAATATTCACCGGAATAGTTGATTTATTTAGCGATTTCCGTTTCCCAAGCCCTTTGAAAACAGTGGAAGTAAGACTCGTTAAATGTACATCTCTGGGCCAGGCTTCATTTAAGAGGCTAAGTACTGTGTGGCCTCTTGGAGCAACAAATTAGCCAATGAAAGAGTAGTTCGCTAGAAAATGGTAGATACTAGTAGAAAATCATCGATATTCTTTAACGAGGCGATGCATTTTCCTTTGGAGTGTAAACAGTGGCTTGACCTTCATGTGACCCTGCAGAAGTACACTTAGTGGTTTGGAAGTTTCATTGTAAAACTTCGTGCAATTATTTCTTGCACACGATTGCTAATCATTCTTACGTTCTTCAAGATCTATAATCTCAGCGGTGAGCAACTGAAAAACGTTTCTCCATGAAACAATTCGAAATTGATTAATCCAAGATGGCGACCGTCGAAGCTTTCAGTCAGTCACGTTCGGTAGAGGAAAAGGGGCGTCTCTTTTCCAACGTACTCTTACCAGCCTTTCTGCAAAATTGCGACCAACGGATTAAACTGGGAGATTTCACGCGGCGCCGTTAGACGCACTATAAATCAGCGAAGGAGAGAGTCATTTGAGACTCGACGCGGATGGCGGGTCCGCGACGATTTCCTCGGTCCAGCGTCATCTCGAACTATGATTAAAAATCGCTCGGCTGAATCGTCCTTGGCGTCGTTGGGATCATCACTTTTACTTCTCTCTCGTCGACTCCGTCGGATTAAATCGTGCTCACAATTACGTAGCATTTTTACGGGAATATTCTCGCTAAATCATTTATCGAAAGTGCTCTTCCCGGCGAACCTGTTAATCGGCGAAGACGGATTAACTCGTCTCTCGTATTCACCCGCATCTGTTGATCCGCTGCTCGTCCTCTCGTTTAATTTATCCAATCATCCCCGTGTTTAATTCAGTCTATATAGGGTGTTCCAGTTGAATATCTTCAACATCTGTTATCGCTCGAACCTTCATCCAACTGTAAGCGGTGTAACAATTTTTCTTGGAAGTTCCCTAGGGACTTTAGAAGCTAAAAACATTCGAACAAAAGAGTCTCAGCTGTTCTCGAGGTACCGAAGATTGTGTTAGAGTTACCGGATTCTAAAAACGACCGCTGCAGATCCGAAATATTGTAAAATTCCAAGAGAAACAATTCTAGACGAAGAATATCTCGGTTTGAACGAACATCGAAGGAAACATTTAGTTAGTCGCGAGACACCCGGTACATGCAATCAAATAAATTACATCGTATTCACGTTTATTGCCGAATGACTCACTCCCCGTCCGCTTTACTTAACTATAATTGGCTGTACGGGGGTATTAGCGATCGAGAAGTCGCGCGATTAACAGGTTGACAGGGTCCGAATCGAGATGGAAATTCTGAGCAATGGAAACGCGCCCGTAGGGACACCCGGCGGAGCGCACGGCCTGCGAGCCTGCCGTGGAAAGGTGCTTCCGTTCCGAAATTCTCGGAAGAGCCCTTATTCGCTGTGAAATCCGGCGCGATTGTGTCGGCCGCGGGGCCCTAAGATGAATTAGGTTCGGGCCTGGAAGAGATGCGGGCTCCGGGCCCGTTGCAGGTTCTTTTCCATCGAATGCCTTCCTTTGTGCGGAATTCGATTTAAGTCGCATTCACACCGAGCCGGACGATTCACCGGTTTCCTCCGTTCGATCCGGAGTCCTTTTATCCTCGTTTCCGTTGTCCGCCGAACAAGCTACCGCGTCGAATTCTCGATTCTTATTCTATCGCCCTTGTAAGAATTCGATCATCGATGGAAACCACCCTGTCCTACGGAATAAACCCTCTAACCGTGGATCATCAACCCTTTGCAATATTAATTATTTCACATTTTCCGATGAGATACGGAATCACACTGGAATCGTTAGAATTCTGAGATATTGATCTGCCAAGAACATTCGAGATGTTTATTTAGTCCGAGGTTGGATGAAGGCTTTAATATAGGAACAATCTCCGCGTGGTTCTAGCTCGAGCAGAGTTTAATTAGCGTGTAGAAACAAAAGGATCGTAATAGTCGAAGGGTTGTCCCGTCCGCGTTTCCATCGCGGCGAGATCCGTCCGCGCGTCTTGACCGACTGCAAATAGCTCGTACAATGCGACCATGACGGAAGTGCAGTAAAGATCTTCAGGGAAATTAGCTGCGAATACACGCTTGCATCAGAGGGACCGGGGCCATTGACCGGCTACGTTAAAATATTGACGAGGAACCAGCTATTTCGGGTCCCGGGTAACTACCAACTCCGTGAACACGGCCGCGAAAGACCACCCGATAAATATTTGATCGCCGTTTTCGCCAATTACCAGCGGGCGAACAGATTTTAATTACCAGCTACGGATGCATCGGTTTACCGATCGAATCCGTGGCCGCTCAAGGTCCGAGCGAGTCCTAATCCTCCTACGAGGATTTTCTCCGATCGCTAATAAGATAACGAGTCCATTAATCCTGGGTTCGGTCGCGTTCGACACTTGAGAAATAGGATACTGTGCACGTCGAATATCCTTGTCCTATCGAGTAACAGCTAGGAGGATCATCGACGTATAAATCTTATAATAATCGAAAACAATCAGGAATAGTCGAAGACGTCTAGCAGCTGTAGTATAGAAAAATAAATTATCGCTAGAACATCTTTACAGAAATCCGGATCGTTAAGAAAGTCATTCTCCACGGCTTGCGTTATGAAAACCACTACTTTGGATACTTCGCGTATTGTCTTTGTACCTGCTGCATTCCGTTGGATTCTTGAATGTCCCGCAAACGCATAAGAATTCGCGATTCGGTAGCCGGATTACATTCCGCCGAACTCTATCCTGAAAGCCATCTACCCCGGAGGAGATCGGGTGTGCGCGCAGCATTCGGTGTGAAAGCAGCCTATTAAGGTCGGGCCTAGGTTGGTGTGTTGCCTCTCGGTGCAGCCTGCCTGGCAGCTTCAGTTCGATGTTTACGCTCGTGCTTTCAACATTTTTCTCCGCGGCCCTGCCTCGCCGCTTCCTCCACGTCGCACCGACGAAACCGTCTCTTCCCCGTGGTAGACCCGTCTTCCTCGTGCATCCGTGGACTCATCGATCGACCGGTGAGTAGCCGTTTACCGGGTTGATTATTTTTTCGCTTGCTCCGATCGCGCCTGGCCTGCGACGGATACATCGCGCACGGCGAACAGAGTGTGTAGTTTTCAGCGTTAACGCTCCTCGGATCGATTAATTTCATTCGCGGTCGAGATACCCGAAGGTGGTTCGTTGTTTCTTCGAAAAACAGAGGGTCCGTGTTTGTTGGCTCGCTCGAGGATCTAGCAGCGTGCGGATTTTATGCAGTTCTCTCGAACGTGTTAGACGCGACTGTGACCGTTTTCGATTTACATCGTTGCGAAGGGCAGTTTACGGCGAAAGGAATAAATTAATAATATTCATCCTTGTCGAGTAGGTACGTACACGTTTATACTACAACTGTCCTCTGAATAATGCACTCTTGGCACAGTGTTTCGCATACATTTCCGCAGACGCGAGTGAAACAGACACGTGGCTCGAACCATCACTTTCACTCGTTAATTTCGCGAAATATGCAAAAATACGAGGTGTGTGTGGTTTCTCTTTGTCAGTAATCGTAGTCTCTGGCTGGCGCAGGGGTAACAATCGTCGTCTAGCCGTGACCGGTGTATTTCTGTAGCATCTGTTCGGCGAGCGGCGTCTAGTCCGCTGGCCGGTGTTAGAAATTCCTCGCGTGGACGGAAAGCGGCGAAGTCGTGTTTCTTCGTGAATTTTTCATCGAAATTTCGATCGACGAGGTACGCCGTTCCACGGACCTGCCGAAGAAGAAAGTCCTGCGACTTCCGATTCAGCTGGCCAGGCCGAATCGTACGGTTTTCGAGCGAATATTCCTGCGGGCTCACTTTCTTCTTGCTCTTCGCATCACCTTAAACCTGTTCCCGGAGCGGCGAACACTTCAGGATCGCGTCGGAATACTATTTTTAGGAATATAATCTTCATAGCTGGTTCCTTTCGCCTCCGCCGCGCGTTTAATTGATTCTCCCCGTAATTTTTATTGCCCGGTAAATTAGCCAGAATCTTAGAAGCGCCGACGCTCGCCAATTTCAATCGATTTTCCTCTACTCGATTTATTTCGTTCGGTTTTTACCAGCCCGTTTCGCTTCGTTCCGTGCCGCGATAGTGAAACTATTCCAGTTTTATCGTTTTCAATAACGTTCCCCCGTCTCTTGTAATAAATAAATAAATTATAATTATAATGCGGCATTCGAACCTGTTTCGCAGGAAATAGACGGTCGCTCGCTAACAAGAAATAAAGCGAATATTGTTTATCGAGGCGAGATTGAAACAGAGGTAGCGTCGTTCTCGTTAGAACGTTCTCCTTTGGCGAAACCAAAGTTGCATTTCCATTGTGTTTCGCGTTGAAATGGAAGTTCTGGTGTTCCACGAGTCGTAGCCCCCGGAAACGCGTAAAGTCCGGGCGCATAAGTTAGAAACACCGCGGGCAATTAATGCGAACATCGACCATCGCGGAATATCGAGCAAGAACACGGCCGTGTTCCGATAATGGTTGGTTCGAATACCAGAGCGTTGGGATAACGGGTGTTCCCGTGCACCGAACGAAATATCTTCGCCGATCTCCCCGCGATCGCTCGTGACGAGGCGAATATTTCACGGTCGCGGCGTGTTCCGTGATAAAAACACTGATCCTTCTTTACGTAAGACAAAAGGCACACAGGCGATAGCGCGTTTATTAGCTCTGGCGACGACGCGCCCTTGAAATTTCACGTTTTCGCGTCGTTCGCGACGCGGGACAGGCGCGAATAC